AAAAAGCGACAAAGAAAAAATTTGCCCCGCCCGGGAGTTGATCTTAAAGGCCGACAATTTTGGTTCGGATGAAGCTGCATGCGGTCATGTCGACTACTGTAGCTGCAACTGTTTAACTACAAAAGGGGCGTGTGGCTAGTGGCGTCGGACATCGTATGTTGCCCCATTTGTGACCACATTTTTGTGTCCATGGACAGGGACGTGTCTACTACCACTTGTCGCCGCGACATGAGTTGTCGCTTGGACGCCTGCGAGGTAGGCCACGGCTTCTATCTAAGGCGCCTGTCGTGACGGGGACTTTGGGTTTAGGCTTCTTTTGACTCCAGGCTCATAAATCCTTTCTGAAGCTAAGAAGTGAGGCCGTGTCAATCTAGGCGTGGGTCGATGATTGTCGCTGAAAACGCCTGGAGGGTAGGCAATGCTTTCCTGAATCGGGCCCCGCGGCCCCCTGTCCCTCCGAGCGCTTGGACAAGGCGAGATAGCTTCGGAGAGGCATTGATATCTTTCGTTTTCGCTTTAGTTCTTATAGCGCAGTTTACTTCTGGTTGATATTCTAGCATTGGCGGAAGTAATGAATTCGTCTGTAGACGGTTCGGTTTAAGCTGACTCGGGCACTGTCGGCTGTAGCTACAATCGTGTAGATACAAACAGGGACGTCGGCGCGAGCCCGAGAGCCTCACAGACAACTCGCGCACGGGTTGCCTACCCTCTAGGCGCTCTCAGCCATGGCACTTCCCTGGCGTGGCGTGACGTTTGCGCCCAGCAACCACACACGGTGCACGGGTCGTGACCCCCAAAGGATCACATTCCGCACAAGCGAGGCGGGATTGCCTACCTCCAGGCAGGCGTCCTCGGCCATCACACAGCTCTTCCCTCCCGAGGTTCCCCTCTGGGAGTTCCCCACTGCAGCCACATGTTCCATAGGTCGGGAACCCTACAAATTCACATCCCGGCCCAGCGTACTTACGATATGTCGGTGAGTGTCCTCGTCTGATCAGAACTTCTGAGGTAATTATTGCTCTCCCAGTTGCCGTGTTGCGTCCCCCCCCCCCCACGCCTATTTAAGGAAACGGTAACACACTCAGTGAACATTGGCGTCTTCTGCTCAATTCCAATAATGCGTACTAATTTTATTTATTATGGTAGTATTTTAACAAGAATTTTAGGGTGGACAGTTACCCTTTATTAGATTACGCTGTCAGAGTCAGGGTGAGCCTATGTTCCGTTGAGGAACTGCAAAGATTGTACTTTCCCATATGCCAAGAATCCAACTTTATTGCTGTGTTAAATATTAGTCTATTCAAACACAATATGGAGGAAGACTACATCTTAAATGTACAAAATAAGAACAAAAGAAGCATGAGGAGGATTCCTGATATTTACAGGTTAACAAGTGTTAACAATAGTGGTCCACTTTTTTGGCTGAAATGATTGAAATCATTTTAAATAAAAAAGAGAAAACTGTGACAACTTTTTACAGCTATATAATAAACAATTATCATTACAATGCACAAATCATGAGTAAATGGGTAAGAAATATCAGGAATTATAATTTACAGAGTGAAGATTCAGTCAGATGAGCTCCTTGCAAAGTACAGGAAGTATGACATTGTTATATATGAATGAAGGATCTTCAAGAATACATGTTTCAGTACAATGGTCACTTGCATAAATTATAACAAGCACCATCTTAACCACACATTGAAATATTACAAGTTTAACAAGTTTAACAGTGCATACCATATACATTTAAATTTCCTTAAATTTTAGAAGAACAACAAAGACCTCTATTAGGATGCATATCATATTTTACACTAACAATTAACAGTTAAATCTATCAGACAACAAAAAAGCATACATAGCATGTAGTAAAATCCTCCTACTTTGGTTGTAGTTTGTCATCTACAATTTGTTGATCAGTGTGTGGACGTCGAGCTGTGGTACAATTTGGTCCCCCCGATCGGCCACGTCCAGGAGTAGGGGCTGCAGGGGGCGACAGTGGTCTTCCTAGGGGACCCGTGGGCCCTGCTGGCAGTGGTAGAGGCAAACTGGACTGGGAAACCCCCGAAACCCCCTGGATCGTGGGCGTTAGCGAGCACACCGGGGCTTCAGCAGGCACCAGTCCAGCGCCTGGAGTGTAACGAGTTGGTTTCTTGGCTTGGAACTTTTGCTTTTTGAGCGGCGAATTCATGTCGGCCGCGCTCCCCTCCCGAGAAGGAACCCACCATGATGGACGAGAATGCTCCCTCTTTACTTCAGAGGAGGCTGCAACAAAAGAAAGTTTTACATTTCATGACAAGTCATTTTCTCCTAATTGAATAGAAGGTTCCTATCCCTAGTCAATAGATTAGAGCACTGAAACACAACATACCTCCGTGCATCAGGGGGGGAGCTGGCGGTACTCAGAAAACTCGGTCTTGGTATCCAGAGTCCATATGGGAAGGCTTCTGGATGGGTTGATGATGGTGAGGACGCATGTGGCCAGCTCTCCTGGGAGGAGCTGTGTACTCAAACATGCTCTGTGTGTGTTGGGCAAGCATTTTTGACAGATCACCAGGCATAGGATCACACCAAAAGAAATCATGGTTCAGAGCAGAGTCTGAATCGATTCGTTTACTTGGATCCAAAATTAGTAGTTTATCCAACAGGTCACAAGCATACGGATCCTTAACATACGGCTTTAGACGTTCTCGAACCTATAACAATTTCATATACATATGCACCAAACAGGAAATATATACCGGAGAGACAAATTCTGAGAAAACAAATCTAGTTTACACATAGGCCCACAGCTTTGCTTACCTTCCGCTTCTGATTCCGTGGAAGTTCCATTCTGGAAAAGAGATCCAGATTTTCTACACCAGGCCATACATCAGTTGTTATTGATCCACACAATTGGCTAATAAGTGTGAGTTGCTGTTGTTCAGTGTTTCCTTGCATGATAGGGCTACGAGTCCACATTTCAGCCATGATACAGCCCGCACCCCACAGATCTACGGGAGGACCATAATTCCGGTCACCCAGCAGGAGTTCAGGGGGTCTGTACCACAGTGTTACCACCCGATTAGTGTACCTAAAAGAAACGTTGCAGAGGTTTAAAACTAGAACACAAGGTGCTAGTAACTTTTGACTGGAAGAGGTGTTAACTTTACCTATTAGCAGTCCCATTTTTACTAATACTGAAAGCCCTGGCTAGACCAAAATCTGCAAGTTTCAGTATACCATTTTTAGTGATGAGCACATTTGCAGCTTTCATGTCTCTGTGTAGAATCTGAATTAACAAAGAAATAAAAACAACACAAGTCAAGACAAGACGGTGTTGGAAATAAACCTTAGTAAGGTAAAGAATATGAAACATACTTTGTTGCTGTGAATATAATATAACCCATTTAAAAGCTGCTGCATTACTTTCTTAATTTCCCCTAAATTAAATTTAACATTTACATTGGAGAGAAGTCCAGCTAAATCATGTTCACAGAAGTCAAATACAAGGTAAAACGTTGACCTATATCTATTGGTGGCATTAGCTGTAACAAAAAAACAAAAGTTCGATTTCAAGTAGGGTCCTAATGACAGCTTACTCATATGGAAAGGATGTAGATTTAATGTTACTTGTGTGACATTAAAAAAGATTTGTACATGACAATATATATTTCACTCACCTTTAGTCCTACATATTTCTATGAGATTAACCACATTTTCATGTTTCAAAAGTTGAAGAATACGTATTTCTCGAAGAGCAGTAATAGGAAACTGGAAATAATAGGGAATAATGTTGGTTTAGGAATCACTTTAGCTAAAGAGGAATTCTATAAAAGTGAAAAACATTTAAGGCAACTATGAAAGCTTACCCCCTCTTTTTCATTATCCATCAAAACCTTTTTCATAGCTACAAATTTTTTAGGGTTCTTCCGTTCCTTGGCTTTGAACACCTCTCTGCAAATAAGTAGGACGATATATCAGTGCACAAGAATTTAACCATACATCCTTGAACATTACGTAACATTATGAAAAATGAAACAAATTAAAATGATAGAGAACTAAGCTGAAGTCACAAATACCTACAACTACTGATTTATTACAAGAAAGGTACGATGTCAAATAGTAAACTTGTGTAACCTTTCATTTGAGAAAGAAAAGTTTCTTTCAAGGTTCATTGTTTCTGAAGCTTAGGTTATGTGAAAGTTTCGTAGGTAGTTGACAAGTGGTATTTAATTGGTTGAGACGCAATACAATCTTCTAGGACAGAAAACAATACTCACCCAAAAGTACCTTGACCGATTTTGGCCACTTTCTCGTATTTCGTAGCATCGTCGCAATGTGGAAAGTCAAACTCCTCTATGTACTTTTCACGTTCTTTAATATTCATTTTAACAGCAGTGTGAACAAATATACTTCAACCTTTGGCAGAGTGGCTGAGAGAGCAGGGAAATAATCTACGTTAAAATTTCTGCAAGACTTTTCATTTTTTTTAATCCGTTTCAATGTCCGTGATCAGATCACTAGATCACTGACACTTTCCTTCCAAAACAAAATCCAAATCTAAGTAAACTAACAACAACAAGAAGAACAACAGCAAAAAACATTGGACTGCCACATGACCATAGAGGGCGCTGCTGGTCGTCTCTTGTTCAGGCGTGACACAAGGGAGACTTAGTGACAGCAGGCATGACATCGAGCTCGATAGATGGCGCGGACGTAGCACAGCCACGGAGAGGCTACACGGCTACGAGCAACCGATGCGGCCACCCAGCCCTATATCCATCCACATTGAGTACATGGAGTAAAGGTGTGTGTGAAGGATATGGAGAGCATTGAAAACCACTAGACACTTTCGATAGTGTTCCAAGATATGAACGAATAATTGGAGCGTGCATATGCCGCTAATGTGGAATTCCCCCTGACTGCACAGGTCGAGGGTAGGGTGCACTGATAACTCCTTCAGGTTTAAGCAGTAAATGCACCAAATGCAACAAATGCACCCGATATCGTTTCAGCTGGCGTCGAAACGAAAGTCATCTAGCCAGTCACCGTCGTCGCAGCTGAGGGAGCTGGAGTCAGTTCTATTGTGGTCGTAGGTAGAAGACTTGGTGTAGTGGTATCAACGTCATCCTCGGCCAACGGTACAGTCCTGGCTGCCGTTTCCGTGGTCGACGTGATGGGCGTCTCATCAGCGGTCGTCGCAGGCGTAGGCACTGTGGTTGCAAGTGAAGGTGCCGAAGTAGGCGCATCTGTAGGTACCGTAACGTCAGTAGGCGATGTAGCAGGTGCTCCCGTAGACGCTGTAGACACTGTTGTAGGCACTGCCGTAGGGGCTGCAGGAGGTGTCTCTGTAGGCACTGCTGTAGGCACTGCTGTAGGCACTGCTGTAGG